GCTCCCCCCTCCTGTCCCCTGGAGCAGCCCCAGTTCCTCCAGCGCCTCCCTGTTCCGCCACATCCCCGGCTTTTTCCCTCCGTGCCGTCCTTGCAGCTGTTGCTTTTACCTTCCGCTGGCTGTGCGCTTGACAGATTCCTGCCCTCTGAAGAACCAGCGCAGAACTCACCTGGGTTAAAAATCCCCCTGGCCTCTGACCTCTGGAGGAGTCGTGACTCCTGCTCACTGTTCACCATGAAAGGCCAGCTCCGCCCTGCGGGGCCTCCTCTGGGCCGTGAGCTAGTACCAACCGCAGCAAGGAGAGTTTTCACCCCAGTCTAGAGGTAGACAGAGGGAGGCACAGAGAGGTCAGCCTACCTGCCCAAGGTCACAGAGCTGGGAGGAAGTGAGGTCTCGGGGACTGAGACACCTTAAGCTCCCGGGGCGCTCTCGCCTCTGCAATGCCCTCGCCGCACTCCTGGGCCTCAGAGACACCCCTTACTGGTCTCTCCCAGGCATGCCCTGCGAGCCCTGCGCGGGCGCCTCGCCTCCTCTGAGCTCTGGACTCAGGAACGGCGTGACCAGGCAGCAGACGAAGGTCGAGTTTATTTACGTGTTTAAGATTAGTCTCCTCCATTCACTCTGGGTCATCCATGTACATGGGAAAACCTCTCCTGCCTTCTCGCTCGAGGACAATGCTGCTTGACCCTCTCCCCCCAGCTGAACACACCCCAGAGGGGCCCGCAGCACAGGCAGGAAGGCTCTGGGCTGTGCACAGCTCCACGCTGTCTGACCGCCAGGGTCAACAAAGTCGACCTCCCTCTCACCTCCCTCACCCCTGCCGGCCCCTCCTGCCCCCTTCTCCCAGCCCGCCAGCACTGCTTCGGCTCCTGGGAAGGAGGGATAGCTTGAGTTTTAGGGTCAGACAGACCTGAGTTGGAGCCCAGGCTCTGTCACTTCCAGTGTGTGACCTTGAGCACTTTCGAGAATTCCCTCAAGCCACAGTGTCTGTGATGATGGTGATAATAACAGAGTCTGCCCCACAAGGGACAGTGATTATCGGGATTGCAGGAGATTACGCCTGCGGTAGTTAGCCCGGTTTCTAACAATAGTAAGTGCTTAATAAACATTGCCCATAATTATCATTATCTGAGTTCTTGGTTTTGCAAATTTCTGCTCTGATGTTCATGGATAAATAACATATGAGCTGATATGGGTTTTCCTGTAATTCTACTCAAGAAAGTTTTGTTTTTTGTTGTGTTGGGTTTTTTTAAAATAATGGCTTATGAAGTTATTTGGCCTTCAGGGTCCAAAGGAATATAAATATGATAGCAAAATATCCTCCAGGGAGACTGGGAATGTTGTTCAGTCTTCACCAAACAGCATTGCTCAGGTGTCTGGCCTGCAGATGCCCCCTGGGACTCACCTGCAGGAATGAGAGGCGGGTCTTGGCTAATGCTCCTCCCTCCCCCTCCTTTTTCTAGGAACTACTTCGCCTCCGTGGAAGACTTAAACCCGTGAGCATTGCTGTAGTGGCCCTGATTCCTAGTAGACGTTAAACACTCCATAGACTAAAACTGCTGTAACTGCTGATGGTTACTGAGTGTTAACCTTGTGCACTAAATGCTTTACATTTGTTCCCCTACTTAACCTTTGTGACAACTGGAAAAGACAGACAGACATTATTTTCACCATTTTATATATGAGGAGATTGAGGGTTAGAGGGGGAGCATTGCTCGTCCAAGCCAGGAATCGAGCCTGATCCTGTCTCACCCCAGAGCCCAAGCTCCTGTTCATTATACCACTTGGTCAACTTTTACAATGGACATAACTTGTGTAGCCCCTTCTAGTCTCAGGTAATTGATAGTGTGTTGCCAAATGTCTGACGGCTTCCCTTCCAGGAGAAAAATCAGTGCTTGCCCATTTCCATGGTGTAAATACTCCGGTCGTGGGAAATGTCAGCCACCAGTGTGATGTCAGTCGGGTCACAGAATTCCTGAAAATTTGGCCATCAGCTCCCAAGAGCTGATACACACGGCTTCAGAACAGCACTGCTTAGAGTTTACATTAGACAATTGTGACCTCCCAGGACTTTCACCCACGTCCATCTTCTGTTGCAGTGATTCCCAATCCCGGCTGCTCCATCCTAGCTGCCCCAGCCCCAGAGGCTCTCATTTCATTGGTCTGGGGCTTGGTTAGGGCAGCAGTCGTTTTTCAGCTCCTCAGATAATTCCTGCGTACAACCAGGACGGGAAACACTGTGCAGAAGAGTATATCCTACTCAGCACCCCTTCATTCGTCACAGATTTGGTGAACACGTGATAATTTATGCCCTAGTTTACTTTTCAAACTTTTAAATTTTATAGCATGGCGACCAACTGTGCTTGTTTATAAAATTTTATTTAAACTAGTTAGTTCCAGATGTGACTTTCTATACCTTTTTCTTTCATTTAAACAGTGCCTGGCATGTAATAGAAATTCAATCAAGTGTGGCTATTGTTATTATTACATTACTGTTGTTGTTAGCATCTTAAATGTATGATCTCTAACAGTTTATGATTCTCTTATCCACTAGATTTTCTAACTTGCACTTGGTCGAGTCTTAAATGATTAATGCAAATATGTTTGTCCCCAGGACAAAATTTTCAGCATCTCTCCCCAAAGAGACCCCAAATCAGAGACCTTCCCTTCACCCGGAACAGCCTAGCTCTCCTGGCCGACCAAAAATGTAAGTATTACCAACTTCTTCAGCTTCCTCTGCGAGTGTTAACACGTCTGGACGCAACTCAATGCTATTTCAGTTTACTTTCGATTTTCAAGAGATAGGTGCCAAAACTTGTAAATTGCAGGAAACAGGAATAGAGACGGCCTTTAAAGTTCCATCCAGCTTGGTGGTGCTTGTTTAAAAAAAATGGTTGCTTCTTCCCTTGAGGAACTTTTCTGTTTGGACTAAAAAACCGTGACAGAGTTTATTTTGCTATGTACTATTTAACGGGTTTTAGACGGTGCTTTACAAATCGTTCTCCCGAGGCTGCTCTCTGGCATTGGTTTCCCGACTGTGAGGGACAGAGAGGGTTCGCCCCCGGGCGCTCACGGGCTAAGCACTGCTAATCAGGTAGGCCAGCATTGCTCTGGGTATTGACTTCTGTTATAGTTTATACAAAAATTCTCATGATGTGTCAGTAGGTTCCATTCAGCCAGCAACCTTCATGTCTGAGTGTTTGAAAGTATCACCTGGGTGCTTGTTGTAAAGCAGATTTTGGCCACACATCCAGAAATTCTGTGACTGAGGCAGGAATTGTGTAGATGAGGAAACTGAGTCTGGGGAGGCTACATGACTCGCTCAGCACAACTCACCTAGTGAGTAGCAGAGCCAAGGGCAGAACCCCAGGGTCCGAGTCAACTGCCTCCTGACACACGCAATGCTCCCTGGACCCTAAGGTCCTTCCTTTTCTCCCCAGCCCAGCCCAGCCCAGCCCCCCACTATAAAACATGCTCAAGCACACAGACACGTGCACACACATGCACATGCACACACATCCTCCACCCCTCTTGACTGCAGAGGGTGAGTGACTGAGGAGCCGCCCTCACTATTTCAGGCAGGTCCCTTCACCTTTCTGCGCGTCAGCTTCCCCGCTCAGCCTGTAGCAGTGGTGTCAACCCCGTGATACCGGTGGGAGGAATAAATGAGATGAGCATGTGAAACACTTGGCAACTGTTTTCCAGAGTAGATATCCACTATGCCTTTTCTGCCCCAGGCGACAGTGTGGAGGGTACCAACCAAAAGTTCGAGAACTCTTTACATAAAAACCATGGACCTGGGGGTCTTAGTACAGCCCTATCACTATGCAGAAAGGAAAGGGGGGGTGATACATTCAGGTCTCACCAAGAGTGGCAGAAACGGAGGTCTGTTCCTTAGCAGAGCAGCTCCTCTGCCCTTCCTGGTCTGGGCAAAGGGAGAGTTTTCCATGGTGTGAATTCAATCACTGAATGAAATTCAAGCCTCACCTTGTCCTTAGGCAGAAAGTCGACTGAGCTGTCCAAACAAAGACACCTATTTAACCAGCCCTAAGTCCTGGCAGTGCTCAGAGCAGCCAAGCTGGGGATTTGCTTTGCATTGCTTTGCTTTGCACAATTAAATCCAAGGAGAGGAGGGAGGGAAAAGATCTTTGACCGACTTTAGCTCTGTGAGAAAGAAATGGAAGATACATGGTGCTTTTTCTGAAAGAAGCCTGAGCCCTTCTGAGGTGCGCATGAAAGCCCAGCGCAGATGTCTGGGGCTTGTTGGAGCCCTGTGCTGACTTGGCCTCAGCACACACAGCTCCATCAGGCTTTCATCAAACTGGGCCCCGACTTGTATTTGTGCATATTTCACATCCCTGGCTCCATGTGGTCAGCCTGCACACGCACACACACACACACACACACACACACACACGCAGCTTTCTCCTGCAGTCTCGCTCTCTCCAAGACAAGCTCCTTAGACATGCCTTCACCCCTTAAGAAATCACACATTTGTCCTGTCACCACTCCTCACAAGGCTCTGAGAGAAGCAAACTTGGGCTTTTGGGCCAGTGATGTGGACGGTGAAAGATTTCACAACTGAAAGAAGAGATGCAGAAAGAAAGTTCATTTTACTTTCCCGGAGAAGGAAAAGGGCTGGTGCATTGATAATCAATGCGAGGGCAAGAAACAAAGAGGCCAGCCTGCTTTTAAGCAGGTAGGTTGCTAGGCGACAAGGAAGGGAGGGTTTGGGTTGTCTTGAAGTTGAGCACATACCAGGCAAAAGTTATACTTTGGTTGCTTTCCAGGAGGCAGTGCGGCAGATGTCCTAAGGAGGTGACTTATCAGTATATTTCCCAACCCTATAAAACATGCTCAGAGCAAAAGTTATGAGGAGTTCAAAGGAGGCTTGTTCGAAGGGGAGGAGGGAACTTTCTACTAACTAGAGACTCCTTGGTCCGAATTATCTCTGAGCTGTGAAAACATCAGGGAGGAGGGGCTGCAACAATGTAGCCTTGAGAGTTGTGAAAACAGCTGGGAGGAGGGGGCTGCAACAATGTAGCCTTGAGAGTTGTGAAAACAGCTGGGAGGAGGGGGCTGCAACAATGTAACCTTGAGAGTAGCTTATCTTGTCTGCAGTTTGAACAGAGGGGCTGTTTAAATCAGAGGAGTCAACCATCTTGGGGCTTAGTTACCAGGTGCTTCTCATAAATTGTGGCAGGCCACAGCACAGGAAAAGAGAGGCCTATTTTCTGGCATTTCACAAACTTTGAAAGTATCTCATTCTATCTTCCACCCCAGTTCTGTCTGGTGAATCTCTCCGAACAAACCGGGTGCTCCCTGCCATTCCGAGCCAGCGGGGACACGGCACAGCCACTGAGGAGAGGGGACACTCTGCCGCCCCCACCGCAGATGAAAACTGATCACTGACTGTAAATACAGATTCTATATATTTTCAGCTGTCAGAGGATGAGATTACTCTAGTTTGTAAGATTAGAAGAGTAATGTCCTAAACTGCATTCTATAAGCCATTCGCCGTTTTATTACCAGAATTCTTCGTTCCAAACAAAGACATTTTCCAAATAAGCACTAAAAATCTTGGATTGTGCCTCTCTTGTAAGTCTGTGAGTGTTGTGACCTCTACATGCCAAAATAAAACATCAAAATGTGTTCTCAGCAGGGACGCTTGGCTGTGTTTGGTTGGCTTTGTGACATGTGTACTGGTATTTTTCTTTCTGAGCGATTTTGTGTCTTGTTTTTAAAGTATGCTTTGCTGATTAAAAAAACAAAAAAGCACATTCTATGATTGTTCTTCACATTGTGGTGACTCTACCTTGTCCTGACGAAAGCTAATTAAAAACAAAGCGGTAAATTTCTTAATCTGTCACAGCTTATGACATAAATGTACATACAGTGTTCTGCAAATATTTCCTAATATTGTCAGTTCCTGGCCGCAGCCCAAGTCTCTGGGCAGCATTTCTGTCATCGGTTCTTTGATCATGTCGGCCTGTAGACACTGTCAGGTCCTATATCATTCCCATGGAGAGAAGATCTTGTGTGTCGGGAAAGTCTACATCTTGGCCCAACAGAACGGAACAGGCATCTCTCATACATTCCTCAAATACTCTGTGTATTTAATCACTTGTTTTTCTGTTTCAAAATAGTGATCTCAGCTTCCTCAAGACATTCGCAAAGTTGTGACTTAGCAAAGTTTGGAACACAGTGCCGATCTCCTTACCAGGGTGCTTGTGTCCCGTTTGGATTGATTTGAAGTTCAAGGCTTAGCCACGTAAGACCAGAGTCACTCCATGTTATTTCTGAGGCTGCGTGCTATTCCTCAAGTATGACATTTACTGGTTGACGTTAGTGTCATTTGTTTAGAGCGGTCAGACTGTGCGCTGAACTCGTAGAAGCTCCTCTGAGGCCAGATCACAGTTCTCTGGCTTTGCACCTCTAGGAATTCGTATGGTGCCTGGCACATCGTAGGCACTCGGTCCTCGGTCCTTTAATGCTTTCCAGGAGAGGAGGAAGGGACGGAAGCAGGAAGGTGGGGGGTTGGCAAGGTAGAGAGATGTAGGAGGTGATCTGAAAGAGGTGATTAGTGCGCAGTAGGGTTTGGACAATGGTAGCCGTCGAATCAGGGATCATGACAGAGAGCGCCGGTGGCTTAACCTCCCCGGCCAGACAGCAGCCGAGGGGGCGAGGCCGGGGGCGGTGGGAGCGCTCGGGCAGATTCTACTCTGACTTGTCTGTAGGATGGTTTTATCTGCGCAGAATCGTTCTTTGTAGGTACCAGTGAGGCTGTTCCCGGTGTCGCCCGGCTACTTCTGCCCCCGTCGTCCCTCCACAGGTAGATACCTGCTCTCCACGCCTAGGTTAGCCAGGGCGGGCTAGCCTCGGCCTCAGTGATAAACAGCCCCTGAATCTCACCGGCTCACACACTTTTCTTCTCACCCACAGGACGTGTCCCACAGCAGGTGGCAGTTGGCAAACACTGCACCTCAGGGCTTTGTTTTATTTGAGATTGGTTTACCAGCATGTCACTGGATGTGACTTTTTTTTTTTTAAATCACACAGAATTAAGAGCACTTTAAATTAAGTCACATTATTTAAAGCTACACTTTGATAATGCTGATGCTGGAAAACAGGACTCATTGCCTGTCTCAAGAGTGATCATGATATGCCTAGATTTTACTGTATTGCGTTATAACATTTCATGGAATAGAGCTGAGTCCAAGGGTAGTGAAGCCCGTATTGTGCACGCAGGGCTCCCCACTGCGTGGGACATGCCCTCAGGTTTCATCACTCACCAAGTCACTCTTTAACGACTCCCCGTGGGTGAAGACTGCTTCTCCCTGTAAGCTGGGGGCCTGTTAATGGCTCGAAGCTCGACTTAGGCAGTTTTTTTGTTCAAGGTAGGTAGCCTGGTCCTCACATAGGAGCACTCTCTGTGACTTCAGGCCTGACCTTGTTACTGCGCCCCCACACACACTGTGACACTCAGGAAATGTATGTGTTCCCCCTTAACTGCCCTCACAGCTAAGAAATAAACACCAAACCTGGTGAGGGGCAAACGCCAGGTATGGGTGTGGCCTGCCTTCCTCAGGCTGGCTCCCCGAGAATCAAGGGGACAAGCGAGGCTCTCCTGGTACTTAGCAGCCGGGTTCTGTTTATAGTAAGTAGATCTGCCAGGCAGAGTGGAGATCTTTTGTGCGGAAACAGATATGCGTGGGTTTGAATTACTCAGTCAGGCACATAACCAGTCGCTGTTTGTTGGTAAGGAGAATGGTTGGTTTAGGTCGCGTGGCCCAAGGACTCAGGATGCGGAGGGGCGGGAAGGGCTCCCAGTCATTCGGTTCTCGTGTCGAGAGGTGGAAATGATCTTTTCCGTCACCTGTTCTCTGTCCTCGCCTCGGTCTGTTCGGGACCAGCTGCAGGTGATCTTTCTTTCCTTCTCTGTTCTGTAGGTAAAAGAACACAGATAATGTAAAGGAAACTGATAGGAGGTTAAGTGACAAGGATCTTCTTATATTCGTTAGAGGGGAAATGTCATTATTTAAGCTATGTTCTCTCTGTTTTGGTTCTTTATTTTGTGTGTGATTTAAACAAAGAACATTTTTAATAAAACCAAATATTAAGTCTTGAAATTGTCTCTCTATTTTTATTTCTAGTCTAAGTGGTCGTCTCAGAGTCACAGTCTCAGGGCCTAAAAGTAAAATAAAAATTTTAAAAGACTCTAAGCATGAACAAATCTGAATAAAAGTTGAAGTGGTGGCCAGAGTATGAACACTCTTCGAGACCCTGAAGCTCAAAGCCGGAGCCTTTCTGCAGCCCATGGGGGGAGAGCTGGCCCGGGCCTTATAAAGTGGCTGCCGCGCCCGCCAGGCAGAAATAAATCATAACGTGCTTGGCAAGCCTGCCTCTGAGGAGCGTTCGCGTCACTGGCCGTTTCGGTCCCAGAGCCGCGCTCCATGCGGAGGTGACCTCGCTCCCGCATCGGCAGGTCTGCTCAGGAAGGAGAGGCGG